GACAGCTGCAAAATTTCCACCATTATTTGTGCTTCCGATACTGTTGTTGGTATGAGGTGAAGGAGGTGGTGGCGGTTTACTGGGCGTAGAACTAGCAAGAGCACTAGGGGTTATCTTATTATTTACACTAATATTATTGCTAGTGCTATTGCTATTAACCGTCACACTATTATTGGCATTGCTGCCAGCACTTGTATTTAAAATGGTACTACTCGCACTTGTACTTAGGTTTGAGTTGGCTCGAACAGCAGTAGGTTTCACCGGCTGAAATTCAAATATAAATTTTAGATATATTCATTACTAATTAAATGAATAAGTTCAAATTAAATATGTTGAAATTTTAAAATGCAAACATTACTACTTATTCACTTGCAAACATTTCACAATGTAAAAATAAAATTTTGTAGATGAGGAAATTAGGAAGTAAGTAGTAGATGCTCTAAGAAATAATATTAAAAAATTAAAGGTTTGTAGATATGAGGTGTTTTAAAGAACATTTGATAAAATGATAATTTTTAAATTTTTTGTACCACTAGTTGGAGTTAATATCTTCATTAAAAACTATTAGTTCTATTTTTATATCCGAATCTTCAAATAACATTATTCTCAAACCACTTCGTTTGAAGAAATTGTTGTCCCGTAAAACTATGAAGTTTTGTTTTAGAAGTCAAACATTCAATGTCTTACCTAATTGTAAAATATTGCACATTTACAGGATAAGAATTTGTAAACTCTTTATTTTAAAAATACCAACTTGAAATTTTGTATTGTGATACTACAAATTATAAATATGTGTAACCCATTTCTTTGCAGCACAAACAAAAATATAGAATAAATTAAGTTATCATGATTTATATTTTTGAGATTATCTCATTAGTTATAAACACATTTAATAATTAACTGATATTATATTAATTACTAAATATTCAATAAGGCTCAAATGCTCGCAACTTTAAATAATTATTAGTTTTGCATTTTATATTTATTCTTTATGACTTGATATATATCAAATAATTATGAAACTAAACTTTTTAAATTTATTCAGAAAAATAATATAAATTCTATATATATACTTTTTCATTTATGTTTTAGTGTTTATTGGTAATGCTTTTTTAGTCTAAATTGAAAAAAAAAATATCCAAAGATCTAATTAAAATAAAAACATAATAACAATTTAAGATATTTACAGTAATTTTGCTAAGAATGGGAACATCTTCCCTTTTCCTTTTCTCATGGCAATCATTTTCGTGGCAATCGCTACTGTGGTTGTGGTTAATGCATCCAATCATTGATGGAGATGCTATAGGACTTGTTCCTGAGGCCATGCTAATTGGAGAACCAGCCGTGTCATTGCTATTGTTGCTATCTGTCGTAGCTGATGATGGTAAGCCGACACCACTTAATTCAATTTCATCCAATCCTATTATATCATCATAAATATATTCATTTTCTTCAAAATCTGGCTCTTGATTTGCATCTATGTAATATTCAACATCATCCTTTATCCTTTTTATCTGGAAATTAAAAAACAAGTTGCTAATATGATAATGAGTAAAACAATTCAATATAAATTTAAGAATTAAGAACAATATTATGTGTGTAAAAATGTAAAATTTAGCTAACTGATGATGCTCGATTAAAAAATAAAACACTAGAATTAAATTATTTAAAATATCTCATCTAATCTAATGTAATTACAGAATGAGTAAATTGAGTGTAATCCCGGAATTCACTGCAAGGATAGAAGAAAACCCTATTCTGGAAGAAAAGAAACACAGGATATAATATAGAAAGCGGAGATCATAAATTGTGAATCTTCATAAAAATTACATTTTTTATATAATTATTGTAATGAAAGCAAGTTTGAAGTATATATAGAAAAAATTATTAAGTAACTACTAAAGCAAAAAAATTTTTGATTTAGTTTTTCTGGTTAAAGGAAATGGCTTATTTGAAATCAGTTAACAGGGTTTTTTTCTATTTGCACAATAAATTTTATACAAAGTATCTTGTAATATTATAGTTATTAATTTGTTTGGTCTTAACACGTTTGGAGAAAAATTAATTAAAAAAAGTTTCAACAAGCAAAATCTAATATTCTATTTAATATATATACCTACTAAAATATAAAATTCTACTTCATAGAACATATTAAATTATAAAATAAAAGTAAATATTAATATATTAATATAGTAATATATCAAGTGAAAGTAAAAACAAAAAAATGACTTAGATTGTGAAAATAATATAAAGAAATAAAAATATTTTTAAAAAATTACCTGATCAACTTCAACAGACATATTATCCAACATTCGTAAAAGTGTTTCTAATTTTTTAATATGGTATCGATGCTTTTCCAATCTTGATCTTAAATCATCTATCCTATCTTGTTTATCTTTATCTACTCGTTTCTTTTTCCCCGCCAATAATGATTCAATTTCTGATTCAAACTGATCAATCTGCAAATAATGTAATATTGAATTATCAAAAAATATTTGAAATATATATATATATATATATATATATATATATTCTCATAATTTAATCTTTAAAGAACCAGATTTACTAATAATATATTAAAAATACTGATATATTATAAATTAAGCTTTTACTTCATATGCTCTTCAAAACGCATGTAAAACAAACCTGAATATTTAAAGCATCAATTTTATTAGCTAGCCATGATGAGATATCGTCCCTCTCTTTTTGTGCAGGGTCTAGTTTTTGAGCTGCACCAAGTCCTTCCTTAGAATAAGCTTTTGTTTTGGTTTCCCTTTCTACTACTTTAAACCTTTCCATTTGCTAAAAAAAATTGTACAATAAAATTTAAGTTCAATTTAGCCTGAATGCCAGGGTAGCACATACTGTTTCTATAAGCTTTCGGTAATCAAGTAATGTGCTTTTATCCTTGATTTCCCCCGACGCGATCCATGATTTGATTTGGTCTCGCAGCCTCTGAAGCTTTTTGATTTCCTTCTTAAGATCCGCCTCATACTTTTCCTTGAATAAAGCACTTATGTGAAAAAGATAATTTAATTTTTTAGTTCAACTTTGCCAACCTTTTGATTACTATTTGTTGCATTATAAACTTTCTGCCAAATATCCTCAAAAGTTTCAACACCTTCTGTCACTTTTTTTAGACATCTGTCAATTTCACCTAAAATTTAGAGAAGTTATAATTGCTATACAATGGCAAGGGAAGTAATGGGAAAGAAATTGCTTAAGATATCAATTATTTTGGGTTTCAAAATACTCCTGGCTAAAATAACATATTTAGTCGCAAATTCTGACTCATTTCGGCGACCTAGATCTGGGGATAATCATATAATTTTCACATCTTGATTACATGCAAAGTGTAAACAGGTAGTGGGAAATTTTCATGTCGGCTGCTAAATTTACCTTGCAACTTTCTCGTAGCAGCCATGGCTATGTAAACATGTGGGAAAATGTATTAGGCATAGTCCAAACATACAAAATATTATCAAGATACAAATTAAACAGAAATGTTTTTTTTAGAATTGTCTACTGAACACACAAGCTTTGTCTACTATTCAAAATGGCTGCCAGTCAAGTCAAATCACGCATTGTCAAAACACGTTCAAAACATAACATAAGAATTGTCAAAATAAATTATGATTTAAATAATACTAGAATGCAGATGTAATTTCAAAATTATAAATCGATTATTTGCGTAATTTTCATTCGCTTTTGATCTATGTATATTATAACGCAGATAATTTCAAAAGCTAATATCTTCGCGCCGTAATAGGGTAATAAACATAGAAATGCATAGACACATATTTGAAAAGCTTGCAGTAGCATAATAGAAACTTTTTGGGATACCGGTGCTGTCACACACGGCAGGCTTTCGCGCTTTGATCTTTGATTCAAAATGTTACGAACATTTTATTTTATTTAGTTTTTATATCTGCATAGTTATTGTAATAAATAATTGTGATTAATAAAATATTGCATATAGTTTGCAAACCAAGATTTTGATTAAGGATTGTAAGCATAGATAAAAGAGAGAGTATATGCATAGCATAGATAAAAGAAGTATATGTGTTGTATATGATTGTAAGTCATCTGTAAGTACATACTAGTCACTTATCTATGGATAAGCTAAGATAATAACCATTTTAACCAAGATTTATTAATGTTTAAAACCATACATTGTTGAGCAAAATAAATTTCCGGTTTCCGGAAAATTTTAGAATATAATTCAAAAACTGATCCAAAATCCAAATCCATGCAATTTATATGCAAGATCCTGCAATATGAAAAGTATTGGTAATTTGTTGGTAGAAAATCAACATATTGATGCTCGAAATTATTATATTGTGTAGGATTGAAACTGTTAGAAATTTGATGAGATAGTTTACTGAAGCCAATATCTCAATTATAAATCATTGATGATAAAAGGTGCTAATTTATAAAAAAATGTTTAAACTAATTAACTTCTGCTTAGGATTTGTTTATGAATTTTAGTAATTGTAAATTAATTTTTATCAGTGATTATTTTAATTCAATAATAAAATTATACAAGAAGACAAACTTGAAAATTTCAAGTTTTGTAGTCATAATTTAGTAAATCAAATAAACTTTATCAATCATATAATATATTTATAATTCCTACATTACATGCAATTGCTATAACTTATTAAATTTTTACACTAATTGAACTATTTCAGTATAGTATCTGTCACAAAAATAACATTTTGTTGAAACTAATTCTATGGTGAATTGCCACGCAATGCTTGTTGATATTATATTTAATATATTTTTGTAGATCTAATTTTCTTGGAAGATTTAATGTATTCCTGATATATAAATTTCATCTAAATATGTAATTATATATTTAGTTTTACAAAGATCTTTTGATAGCATGTCTGCTATATAAAACATTTTCTATTAAAACTTAAAATTAAGCTAAGGTTTTAAGTGTCACATATATGAGCATTTTGTCACTGTTTACTATATTACTATGCCACCTAATATTTTGTATCCGTAATTATATTCATTTAGTCTTAAATGATTTGTGCATTTTATGAAAATGCACATTTATAAAGATCACCGAGACAAACAAGAACTAGAAACGCTCAATGCAGACAGTCCTGATTGAAGACTAGTCATTGATCCTCTGAAACAATAAAGAATTATTAAACAATGCTAAATCATTTAAAATATTCAAACACTTATAATAATTGCAATTTTGGATTACCTAAAAGGTGTTAGTGAAAATGATGGTTCAAATTCAATGAAATAATACTGTTATTAAATAATTGCAAAATTTGTACAAAAAAGTATCTTATTCAAAATTAATTGAAACCTGTAATCTGACGAACTCAAAGTCTCATGATAATACATCACTCTTGACAATCCAGAACTTTGTTTTGCTCCTTGTTCCCTACGCCACTGCATTATATATGTACCACAGTGTGTCATTATATGTGACCCCTTAAAATAAATTTAAATTTTTTGATTCTCACATAATTATCAATTAAATATTAAATTTAATAAGCACGTGTTTCAGAAGACATAATTATTACTATTAATAATATTATTAATATCATAATTATCACTATTATCTATATGATAATAATTTACCTGCACACTCTCACCATCTTTACAAATTAAAGTTTTTTCAACTGAATGATACTGCTGCCCTTCTTTCCAATTTTTATTATCCAGCACAGAACTTTTACCGCCAACTACAAGCAGAATATATATATATATATATATATATATATATATATATATATACTTGATTATTATTTCATATTTTACCTTCTTCAATATTTTGATTTGTTCGATATACTGAGAAATTTATTGCTTGTCCCAACACATCAAAATCCCATGTTAATACACTTCTAGGATCAACATTATGTATTAAAACTTCATGAACCTAAAATTTAAAAATTTCTGTGTAATACTTATTAGGAAACTATAAATAATATTATTAGATGCAAATAAAAATTATGAATACCTGTCCTTGTGTTAATTGAATAGCGTGATATAAAGATTGATGTTCTGGAGAACTAGGCACTCCATTTTCACCAACCGTATTGGACGGATGACCAACAATATATAAAGATTTTGGTACCAGACCTCCTTCATGAATTTGTGTCTATAATATTTTTTATATTATATATAAAATGTTTATATATTCTGATATTGAGATTCATAAAAGTGTGAATGCTTACTTTACAGTCTCCGCCTAAAAAATCAGGTACAGAATCCTCAGGTATCAAAGTGTTTAAACCATCTAAACTATCACCAGCAGAGAAAAATACAAATTTACTCCTGGTATTTTCATCTATAATTATTCATTCAGATATATAATCGTGATTTGCTGTGAATGCCATAAAAATAATAAAGTAATACCTATAAATGTGCTAACTAAGGTCCACAGTATTGGAAAAACTCGCGGCGCTCGAACGATTAAAACACGACCCATAGTATCAGGATAATTTGCTTCCACTGTTTCAATTATTCTGTTTCATGATAAATATTTTTTTGAATGAGTTCTCAATAAAATAAATACATGAAATTCTGAAACCAAGATACAAGATAAATGCATTTAGTAATAAACCTTAAAAGTGTTCGAATTCCTGGTCTCCATAAATGGCGCATATTTAAGCCTTCCAGATCTACCAAGAGACACCAGCCACGCACTGCACGACCCATTTTTCTCGAAGATTGCATAATACGGCTCAACCCTTCTTCACAAATGTGCAAAGTCTAGATTTTAAATTAATTAAATGCCATTATTACCACTACGACCATATATATGTATAAAAAATAAACACTGTTACAAATAGTAAACACATTTACTTCTATGGAAATAGATAATATAGAAAAAAGTAGTGATTCCTAAAATGATTCACTATGAAAAAACAATAAAGAAATTGCTATAATAATAAATAAATAATAAAAATAAATATTACAATATTTTTACCAAGTTTAATATTCCCTCCTCCCCAACAGATTTGATTAGACCTTTAACATCCATGTGACCAAGTCTTAATAGGTATAATGGTCTTCCATCTGCATAAAAATTTATTGTTTATAAATTATAATTTGCTACACAAATGGCTGCTTCTAAAAATTGTAACAAGAATAAACTATAATCATTTTACCAATGTCAGTATTATGCCATCCTCCTGGAAAGTGATTAGTCAGCACCGTATGCATTCTGTAAGTTTGTTTCAGATGATCTATATTATTTTGCTTTCGCCACAACATACTTTTTTGAAACATCTCTTTAGCTCCTTGAATATCAAAATCACGCGCTCTCAGGAAACGAAGAAGTGTGAACCAATCCTGAGGCTGAGTCAAAGATTAGTCAAATCAATTTCAAATCATTCAATCAAGATTAAGCATATATTACACATGTTTTAATTACCTCTTCTGTGTCATCCTCCAAAATTGCTTTTTTGAATTGGAGTAGCTGAGATTCTTCCAGAGGTGTTAAATCGCAAAACCATTTTTTAATATATTCAGCATTCAAAAGATCTAATAAATATTAATCATCATGTTTATATATTTATATATTAACACTTGGAGATACTATTCGGCAAGGATGTTGGGCAATGTTGCATAGGTTGCATATATGTATATAGACAATAAAAAAAGTGTAATAATGTTGCTTCAGGCTAGTATAGGTTACTTCTAATTACTTCATTAGCTTGAAAATTTTCATTAACATGAAAATTGTAGATACGACAGAGAACTGGGAAAACATGTGTAGCATTATTGAGTATGTGAGGTGTGTGTGGTGGCCTGAAGACATGAAAGTTTAGGTCCAACAATTTCCAAAAATTATGTGTGGATATCTATAATCATGTATATTTTAGCATTATAATTACCTTCTTGCATGCCAGCATGCTCATTATTTACATCATCTTTTGACATACTTGTATAATTATTTTGTGAATTATCATTTAAAGTTGAGATATGATCTCCTTCAATAGCTGGAGCTGTCCAAGGACTAACATAAGTAATGTTTTCCTTTTTAAGTTCTTCTACAAGTATTCTATCAATTCTTTTCCTATACAAAATAAATTATGTTAATAAAAACAAATATTAATATAATTATCGTACTAATATCTCGCCAAATAGGCGTAAAATCTCAAAATTAAGATGTTTAATTCAAAGCTTTTTAATTAAAATTATGAAGTTGCTGCAAATCTTTTGAATTATATCGAAAGCAATGTTATCATTTTCAATTTGTTCAGAATATTTTTATAGAAAATTAACTAAAACTTTCAAACAAAAAAAAAATCAATGATGAATGAAGATTTTTAATCTTTGAATATATCTACTATGCTCTGAAGATTCATTGTTCCAATAAATTAAGATACATATTAGTAATTAAAATTATATTAAGATATTAAGATATTAAATTAAATTAAAGTATGTTTATTTCTCCATTTCTTGTGAGAAAAATTGTGGTTTGTCTAACAAACATTTTCATTTCACGTAAAACGAAATTAACCAAATAATTATAAATATGGTACAATCTCTAATATCTCTATATTTTATATCTTGCAAAATAATACCTTTCGCTATATTTTGTGAATATTGTTTCATGGCCAATTTTTCCATTGCACTTTCGAAACCAAAAAAGTTTTTAATATCAAGAGATGCTGTCTGATCAAAGCAAGTCCAAGATGGATTTTCTGGATGGACCTAATATAACAAATGAATGAATTATGACAAGGGAAACAATACCGATCGGTTATAAATATATTTAAAAATTCAGATTATAGGGTATTAATTTTCAACTACGTAATATATTATAAATGTCTCTTACGTAATATCTGCACTTTTCAACAACACCAACTCGATTTGCAAAGCTTTCGTTAACGGCATCGATAATCAAACATCTGGTCTTAAGATCTAATGTATTTGTTTGGATAAAATATACGACATCAACGCCAATAATCTGAAATCAAATAAAACTTGCCTTAGCACAGAGGTTCTTTTATTAAATCGGCAATCAATTCCGACTTTAAAATAATTGGTAGTAATATACAATACTCTACAATAATAAATTCGTTCTAAAAATTTATATAATTGTTCCGATTTAAAGTGACAAGAAATGTTTTAATAAGTGCATTTGTGAACAATTATTAGAAAATAATTAGGAATATTACAATTACATGTAAGTTTTTACACCATATCACTTTCTTATAAATTAGTTTTAATTAATAGTTTTATCTGTGCTTTCAAACTGGAGTCCACTGAAGATGACACAAAACAATGTGTCAAAACGTATAGAAACAATAAAAATGTTATTAGCCCATACAAGTTTTTACGTGATGGAGTATGCCTAAACTGTGAGTACAGCAAATTTAATATTGATTACAAGCCTGATATTAATTACAATTATTGCAGTTAAGAAGTGATGAAATCACAATTTTAGTCTGATACTCACTTTCTTCAGCAGATAAGGAGCCTCAACAGCCAATTTGCACCTCCTAATAGTTTCGCGACGTGATCGTTCTTCATTCCATTGATCGTGCGTGATTTCGCAATCAAGCACCACAGGAATTTGTGGACATGTTGGAAAACGACGCTCATACGCCTGGAAAATAATAAAAACCAATCAAATTATTAGATTTTTAACATTCCAAAGAAAGGGCTTTACTTAAAATACAATTCACACTCAGCCATTTAATTTTAAGAGCTTTGATATTAAAACGAGCTGGATATTACCACATTATTATGAAAACAATGATGGTAAAAAAATCTTGTTTCATAAAGAAATTAGGCAGACAAGTTCAAAACATCTGAAGAAGGATAAACCATTTTTCTGAAAACAATCATAAATAAAAATGTGAAGATCATCAATTATTAATCCAATTTTTATCGAAGAAATTATTAGTGTAAAACATTGGCTCAGGCGAAACCCATCATTTAATTAAAAAAAAATCGTAAAATTTCGTTTAAGTCGTAAATCGTAATTTTCGTTTTCGTTTAACATTCAATAAGAAATGAAGTAAGGTTCATAGAACCATCATATACTCGTATAACACAAGTATCGATACTTATTATTTGATCAAATATACGAAAAAAAAAAAAAATGTACAATCGCTGAAATTAACATATTCATATATTATTATTATTGACTCTTGCTTCGGGATTCGCAGCTATTACATAGCCTTCGTTTTGTGCAAAAATTCTTAAATTTTTTCCACAGTTTTGCAAAACAAAACTCTCATTATTTTTCTTATTAAAAAATTCATGATTATCGACTGGTTAGTGCAAAATTCTGTGATGTGTACACATTTTTAGATATAAAATACCATGCTCAATTCAATATCCACTGATGATGACATCAAATTGTATGTCGAAACGTTTGAAATTAAAGATTATTTTTGAATATTTGCTTTTTGATGTATCGCCCTCAAGAAATCACTCATTATTGTTATTATTATATATATATGTGAATCAGCTGGCTAATTGACTTTTATCGTTTGCATAATCAGAAATTATTAAAATGTAATAAATATTCAATTTAAATTAATATTAGAATTCAAATAGTAGAATTATAACATACCAATCAGGAATAAGAAATGCAATTAAAACAATTATTTTGCATTAAAAAAGTGTTTAACCAGTACGCCGGTTGATCTATGCATGTTACAGGTTTACCATAAATTGCATATGATTGCAAAACATCTTAATATGATTTAAGACTAGTCAAATATTTGAAAAATTAAAATTAACCATTCTCAACCCCAGTACATCTGTTTTACTCTGAGAAAGGATACATGTAGTATATCTTTCAACAGTGAACAACAGCTGTAAATAAATTTGAATCAAATCCCTTAGAATGCATTTAGGTGTTTGGCTTGGAAAACACCATATAAAATGTAAAATACAACGAATCCAAGAACTCAACAGGCTATTGGTCCTATCAAAATTATCCTTGGGATAAAGTTCTTATTTATAATTAAACTTATTTGTAATCAAACCTATCAAAGTTTGGGGCAGAACTACAAAGACTAACATAGTAGGTAAAATAATGTTAGAAAGAATGGAATCAAAATTACTTAGGGCAATGACTGATGCCCTGAAGTATATTCAAATTTTCATAATACACAACGATCTTCAAATCCAGTTATACCAGATGCAATTAAAACAGAAACAACAATCATATTCAAAATAGTAAGACACTAATTAATTAGTTACACCATTACTCAATACCTCAGTCAATAAGAAGACTAAAAAAATGCATAATATTTTTGATGAATAGCTCAAAGAAATTGCATAATGCTCTATTAACATATGTATATATATATATATATATATATATATATATATAAGGGCTGAAATTTGAAAAATTCCATTTTGACCCATTTAAAGTGCCCCAATCGCGTCCTAATGTATGACCGACCCCCACTAACTTTGGAAGGCCGATCCACCCATGTCCGTGGTTCAACCCCTGGAACTTCCCCTGAGCGGTTTTTCAACATTTAACCCTTATTTTTGGGTCAATGCACGGGACATCAGAATTCATTTTAAAGGTATGGTTTCTTCAGCAAAGTATCTTATTTTGATCCCTAGAATCCGAAAATCATATGTGCCTAAGTAACCTTTAAATCGACCCACCCATATATATATAACTGTGTGTGTATGTTTGTGTACCCAAGTTGTTTCAGTAATGTCAAAACCTTCACCCCCTAAAGCGAAATAAATTATTAAGTTGATCTAATCAAACCACTCACGAAAATTCCACCAGAACATCAGTTCTTCAATAGACCTGAATTATATACACTACGAACCAAACTATTAATTACTTTTTGTACTTTGTACATTGTAATGGTAAGCCTCAATGCAATTAATATTTAGGCGTTCGTCGAAAACATGAAACATTAAAAAATTCTATGTTAAATAATTTACATTAGCGTACATTATATAAATAATATATATTAATGACTTATACACGTGCATATTAAGTTGTATCAGTTTTACAATATTTAAATAGGAGGACAATATGTGCTATTTCTCTTTTTATTAATTATTATTAGTTATGTTATTCTTTTAAACAAGTTTAGTGTTTAATAAATTTTATATAATTTTTTGGGGTTTCCCTGGTTTGATTTCTGAATGATGAGATGCATTAAGTGTAGAAACGTTTAATAGAATTTTTTTTATATTTTAATCCTTTATTAATTTGACTATATTATATAATATAGATATATATATATATTTATTATATTATATATCTATATATAGTATTATTTATAATATATATATATTATATATATATACTACACATATACATTATTTGTTATTCGTGATATATATTAAAAAGTCGATTTGAAATTCGAGAAATACCGACTGTTTTAATTAGCAGTGCATATCTATTCATAAGTATTGTTATTTTTATTCTATTCAGCCTTCATTTGTAATTATTATACAGTTTTTATTACTTAAATTTTAAATGCCAATAACAAGCTTAATATGATAAATTGAAGAAGTAGAATATAAATAATTTTAATCATTAGTCAATAATTATACAATAGCAATGCCTCAAAATCAATGTACAATTAAAGCAAAGTTGAATATTAAAATTTTAAGCTACCAACTATATTTTTAAAGGTAAAGGGCATCCAGCATCTACTGATAAAGTTCGGTTATTTGAAAAGGCTCACCTAGGGGATGTCTATTAATTGCGTGATCGATTTTTAAGGATTTTTGGATCCCCCCTTGGTGATAAATGTTTGAATTTTTTAAATGTGATATTTGTGATTTTTTGTCAAACCCCTAAAAAAATCACGCGATTAATGGACCTTATGGCCCCCTACTTATTTGAAAAAGTAACCTTTCAAACTTTAATTCAAAATTTACAAATTTTCTCAAAATCGCTGAATGGCGTGTGGTGGAAAGGCAGATTGTAATTTAATAAGGAAATTTAAAAAGAAAAGATTGCTGAGTGTCGTCTTTGACTTTGTCCTGGGTTAAACAACAATAATCTTATTTTCGTAATGTGGTATAATATGAGTCAGTTTTCAAACCACGTTATATGTAAAACCAATCTCATATTATTTATTATTTACCGCTATGCTTTTACCTTGTATGCGATCGTAATAAATAATTTCATTGACACAGCAGAGCCAAATATCATTATGCAGACCGACAGACGCATACGTTTTAAAAGAACTACCTCTGCGATTCACATACATATATTGTTTCTACAGTTAAATAATCTGTTCATTTAACAAATATATGAACTCGCACTCGGAGAGCTATGGGAATTGAATCAGAGGTCCCAGATTCGTCACTAACCTCGAGTAGCCTGATGTCAAGCAGTAGGAACGTCGGCTTTTACTTGAAAGTATAGCATAGTCCTTGTCCGCCATTGTTACATCAAAAATATTCATCACTATTACAGAAGTGCACAAATAAAATACCATACATAGAGATGAGACAACTGGGATGCCAACTATAAAACCGACGTAAGTTAAGGGGGTATTCTAGTGTAGAAATTCAAAACATCGATTTTTTTTTATTTATATTTTCAAAGTTTAACTATCTAAGAATATGGGTACGAGAAGGTTTTTGAAAATTTGAATTATTTTCGTAGATATAGGCATTTTACAGACTCGGTCTCGATACTGGTTTGGCTTCACGCAAAACTTTAAATGCGTTTTTCTCAGAAAAGACTTTTTCAGTACTGTTGACACGATTTCTTGAGTTCTACTCGACCGATTCATTTGAAATGTTCAGAGAGTCTGGTTTGTAGACCGATCTATAGCCCGAACTAGGATTATCGCCAAATTCCAATTTTTACTATTTTTAAAAAATTCGAGAAACTCAAACAAAACAGTAAAAAAACACTTTTTTTTCAAACAGTCGCCAAATTGTTAAAAATATTTTTTTTTACTCATCGCTAGTACGGGCGACTGCGACATAAATTGAGATATATATCTTTTATTTTGCATTTCCGATGGCTAGGAGGGCTTGAATCATGTCAGCCTGAGATGCCAATTTTTTGAAAAACTTTTACTATTACTTTTTTATTTTTTGCATTTTCGATGGCCAGGAGGGCTGAAATCATGTCAAGACTGAGGTGCCAATTTTTGAGACCACCACTTCATCAGCTGCCAGTTTTTACAATTTTCAAATTTTGTATTTTTTAATTTTTGTTTTGTATTTTAATAATATTAATAAACAAGTGGTAAAAAATGGATAGTAAAAACATTCATTGCTTTCTTTTACGACACTTTAAAAATGACCTAAAATTCATCGCTCTACACTAAAATACCCCCTTAAGACAAATTATCAAAACAGCTGAAGTTTCTGATGGCTATCAAATAATGAATAATAAAAATAAGTCCTAATTCGTTCCAGTATGATTATGATAGATCACAATTTGAATCATGTTTACAATAGTGGTGATATTGGATTCATAAATAATGATTATAATAAATACGTCAGAGATTTAGTTACCGTTCTCAGAACAATTTTATTAACATTGCGGTCAGGGTCATTTGTCATCAACATAAAACAAGTACTCGTACTTGCACCGACGAGTAATTCAGAGGATGTTGTATCCAAATATTTTATAGGCATATT